ATTGACGTTAATTAATTTTTATCCGTAATAAATTAATTTTTCTTCGTGAAAAAGTGGAAAAGAAACAACCTAGTACATGTAACAAATATGTTTGAAAATACTCTCCACAATTGTAACCCGGAACTTTAATTCAGACAATAATTATGGTTGTGGACTACTTGATCTTTGTTATGAAGTGGAACAGAAACAAGTTAGATACAAAAAAGTCTGGAAAAAACTTTACTGTTATCTTTTTATAAGGTGGAATAAAATGAACAGGAAACAAAATTGTTTGATATTACTCTTAGAAATTGTAACCTGGAATAATAATTATTTTTAATTTGCAAATGATAAAAAAAAATTAACAATCTTACATTTTTGCAGATGCTATAATTTAAACTCCTCCATTTGGGGGGAGGGAGGCTCAGATAATTAACTAACGTTTTTTTTTTTATTTTTGGAGCTGTTATAACCTCCTCCTTTTTTTAAATTTGGGGGAGGGGACTGAGATTTAAAAAACTGGATGAGTGTTACATTATTGCAGCTTGCCTTTTGCCTACATGTATATATGGGTGCGTATCATTACCGCTACATTTGCAAAATTATCATTACCGCTACATACTCATTACTGCTACAAAAAAGGTTACATTACCGCTACATTTAAAAGTAAACATTACCGCTACATTGCCTCTTTCGTAACCAGTGGCTTATACATGTACAGATTGATTTAAAGTGCAACATGTACATACATAAGAGCTGTTTCCCCTGCTCACCATGGGAAGGTGAAAGAGGGCTTTGAGCAGGAAGTTTTTTGTTTTTAATTTTATAATTAAAATTTATTTTATATATTAAAATATTTCAGAAAATTTTAATCACTAATCCTGCATTGCCGCAATTTTACACAAACTTATGACTTTCAACTAACGCTAAATAATAATTATTGTATTTCGATGACAGATTAAATGATTATATTGATTAGAAATCAGGTCCAAATTCTATGTCACTACATTGCGGATGAACTATATGGAAGAGAACTCATATTCAGTGCCATTGATGGTAGATTCAATATGTAGCGGTAATGAATTGTAATCGGCAAAAGTCTTTTTGAAAAAATGTAGCGGTAATGATCGCCTGAAATTTTGTAGAAATGTAGCGGTAATATGTTGAAATTTTTCGCAATGTTGTGGTAATGTTGACCTCCCGTATATATTTGATTTTTTCTCTACAAATTTTGATATTCATTAAACATAATGGTATGTATAAAGCGATAACGTTTTAAAGTGTCATAAAAATTGTCACTTTTTTATTGTGTTTTATGTATAAAAAACACCGAGGAATAAAAGTTATTCATGCCAAGAAAAAGTACGCATTCTAGTTTTAGAGCGAACTCAATAAAAGCGGAATTAGCGTTAATCTGTGATTTTTCCGCAGGGAGATGTGTGCGAGGCAATTAATGTCAGCAGTTTTGAGGGAAGGATCTTAAGTTTTACTGGTTTGAAATTAAAGCTAGAATACTTATTATTTAGATGCCTTTGCACCTTTTTTCCCGGTTTTTTTTTTTTTTTTTTTTTTTTTTTTTTTTTTTTTTGAAGGGGGGCGGCGATTTTCCATGCAAATCATATGCGGTTAAAAAGTAAAAAAAGAAGAAAAAGAAAGTGAAATAAATTGTAGTGAACTAATTAATTGTTCAGTAAAAATTAGAAGCCTTTCAAATTTTTCAGTGTTTATATATCAAAATATTTTTTTCCTAGTATAAATTAACATCAGGCACGATGAACTTGGTTGTTGTGGAAGTCTCGCGCCTTATTAAGGTATCATACCGGTAATTGACCAATGAAAATGAACTTAGAACTCAATACGTTCTATTTCTATTAGTGAACTCTTCAAAATTAGAGGCGCGTTTGGTCGTCTGAGTGGGACAGCATGGCGTTGCAGATAATACAAAACATGCCAATCTCAATCCAATTTTAAATGTTAAATGTATTTGTCATTCCAATTGAAGAGTAGAAGAACTAAAAGACATATGTAAGAGAGCGAGAACCCTAAATTTATCATCCATTAATAAAAAATACGACATTTCCGAGGCATGTGTATTGTATTTAGATGTACCATACGATAAATAGATACGTACGATCAACAGTAGATATAAATTGATATTGTTGTCATTCCTACTCTTGATGTATATAAAGTCCACAACAATAAAATATTTCACTTGCATTTTCTTAGGAATTGTTCATCGACATTCATTTTATGTTACGTTTGTCTCAGAAATCCCGCGAGATTTGTACATTTTCCGACTTTTTCACAAAAGAGCGCACTAAGAAGTGTAACTCTTCCATAGTGGAAATAAAACGTATTGTAGTTCCATACATATAAAATTATTATTTTTTCCTTTTGATTTTTTTTTTTTATTTCCTTCCAGTCTATTTTTACAATTTTGGTACCTGTGTCTAGTGTATTTTACATATTTTGTAAATAAATAAAGGTTTTTTGACAGGAACTATTTTTTTCAGGGCATAGGAGGCTACTTCCTGGGGTAGAAGTTTATTTTTCTTTGACTAAGAAAACGGAAAGCGTAAGATCCACCCCCTCAAATCTGCTGCCGTAAAATTGTCTCGCCAGCATTAGGAGAATATGGGTGATTTGCATCAATTACACTTTTATTGACTCCATCGCTGTGGAAAAATGGACGGGATTTCCTGGCATGTCCCAAATACATTAAGGGGTGGGTGGGTAGGACATGCATGGAAGTTACAGAAAAGTTCATTTCAAGGCCTTTAAAACATAAAAAAAATCATTTAAAATTTGCTAAAACATTTATCTTATTAAAATATTTGAGCTAATTCAGTTTACCTCACTGCTATTTTCACAATCAACATGGCTGGTCTTTACTTTTCATAATTTATCACAAAAAACTATATAACTATCTTCATCAGTGAATTATATATTTTATGTTTGTTTATTTCTAATGGGATATAAACGATATTTTCATGCCATTTTAGTGATAACATCTATGAGGAATGGATCGAAGCCAAGTATTCGAGGCTCGACATTGTGAAATTTGCAATACGTGTAATATCATTTAAACAGAGAATGCATCTCTGTAAATACATATACCATTTTGTATTTAATTCTTTACTTTATCAGATTATAAAATTAAAATTTACTGATCAAATTTATCTTTGACATTGTGCTTCTTTTTAGGCTTGTGTAATCTCAGTCTAGTTTATCTTCTATCCTCTTTACCCTGTAAATACCGGGTCTGCGTACATTCAAGCGAGAAATTCACACCTGACATGCACTAAATAAACAAAGGGATTTAATTTGTATGCATTAGATAAACAAAGCCTTTCATGCGACCAAATTTTATTCGGTGTACATGTATCAGAAAGCGTATTTCACCATCTTTACTTAGGCTATTTATTTATTTATTTTTAAAAATGGCTGTACAAAAAGGGCATGACGCCTTATAAAAAGAACATTGCGCCACATGAAAATGGCATGCCGCTGCGCCATGCTTAATCCTCAAGGAAAAAAACTACTTCTAAGGTTCAGTATAGAATGAAAACTGGACGATAATAATTGAGAGATACCGCGATTCGAAGATTGCAGTCATGGCCGGAACCAAACTTACAGTAAAATCCGGAACAAATATTATGATTTTAAGGTTCCGGCCGGAACGCGAAGTATCCGGAACGTAAATTATGCGACACCGGCGCCATTACGAAAACTGGAAATTTCACCGTCTCCGACCGGAGCTGATTTTCGATACTTCCGAACTGAATTAAATGCCGAAATTACAATTTATCAGTAGCACAATGCTTCTAGTACTCACCAATATCGATGAAAAGAAAATATCACTCTACATTTCGATTTGGTCTTGCAAGATTTTAAAATGGACGAAATGTAAAGAAAACTCGACCGTCTGATAAAATGTTTTCACAAGATTGTATATTTCATAACAAACCCATATAAACGTTGCTGGTGAGTACTAAAGGCATTGCATTATTGATAAGTTGTGAACTCAGCATTTAATTCGGTTCGCAAGTATCGAAAATCAACCCGAGAATGCCGCCTCCAGTTGGAGGCGGCGAATTTCCAGTTTTTGTAATGGCGCTGGTTCTGACGTTTTCCTGGCACGTAAAGTATCAAAATCATGAAAAAAGCCTGGAAAACGTCAGATAGGCCTATTTCGGACTAAGTCGAGATACAATAGACCGTTTGGGATAAAATATCCCAAATGGGCTATAAATTTACAGTGCAAAAAATGAAAAAAAAAATATTGGTCACAACCTGTTAAATACTACATGTCTCATTCTCATTATATCGCAGGTTCATTGTATATCACGGTATTTTCCCAAAGTTAGGATACATATCATGACATATCACATTTCCTTTTTGTTAATGGACCCTGTCTGTCTTCTGATTTTTGACTTGTGTATGTGATAATGAAAAAAGTATGGAACGCACAATGGAGAAAAAAATTATTCAAATAAAGAGTAATAATACCAGTTAAGCTTCCATGTATTCCAACACTGTGATACATGTACAATGAGACTCTCCAATTTAGTAGATAAACAAGACTTGCAGTTTAAAAGATGGACTACATATTAAACCAAGCAAGCTTGGAAGATGATTTGCCACTAAAAATATAGCTCATTGTTAGATTTGTGAATATCACTTGATTAAAAGTTAAAGTAAGAATTTAGAATAACTTTTTTACACTAAAGTAAAAGAAATAAGTACCACAATATAATGAGATACCAGTACACATAAATAATCAGGAATTATGCCAAGTTATGTACATTAATCAAGTAGCCTACAGTTTTCCTTTAAAATACTGGTTACATAAAATTTAGTACTTATTTTCATTATTTCATTTCTACTTGGATCTGTAGCTCTCTGGTTTGTCTGTCCAAATGTTCTCAACCAGAGAGCAACAGTTCTGCAGTTAATGATATGTACACTTTACATTATTTTATAAATAAAATCACAATTATCATTACATGTTTATCAAATAGGTTTTCTGCCATTCGAACAACTAAAAAGAAGGCACTAAACTGGGACGAGAAGATGAAGAAGAGAGCAGAGAAAAAATCAATTAAAAACTATGAAAATGAATTAAAAGAGAAGCGAGCAAAAGAGTTGGAAGTAAGAGAAGGCCAAGGAAACAGCCTCTATACTGCAACTGCATGAAGCCAAGAATTGCTAGTCTTGTATTTTACTAAATTTGTACTCACTGAAAACTGAAGCATATAAATGGTGATCAGAAATGAGTAATTTTTGTGGGAACTAAGTTGGTTTTTATTTTTGATCTTTAAGATGAAAAGAATGAGACAAGAGGAAAACAAAAGAAGACGGTTAGAAAATGAAAGAAAATCAGAGGTCGTACAAACGGTAAGTAGTGCTTCTGAAATAAAGAGGATGTGGTGAAATATTTTGAAGGAACCTAGAAACCAGGAGTAAGACATCAGTTTGTAATCTTGTCAGAAAAGAAAGTACCAAGGCTGAAATATTTTTGATTTGATTTGGGACTAAAATTTTGATCATGGAAATGTAGCAGAGGAATTACAAGATTTTTTGTTAATTTTTTTTTTTTAAATAAGCATATTGAGAGACCCAAAGGCTATTATGCTTGCATGCCTCTCATTTCTTTTCATGACAAATGAATACATGTACATGTATATAGATAAATGATTTCCTTAACTATTTAAACGCTTTAATCTTTAGCATGATTTATGGTTTTCAATTATTTTTCAATAAGCATACAATCTAAATTCAAAGTTTTTCAAATGGGTCTTAACTGATATCCAGCAAAGTTTGCAAATACATGTAACATTTGTTATGAATGAAGTTTTTACATCTCTCATTAAAATTTTATCCTTATTATGATTTACACCCTAGGCCTATGACTAGCAAAAGCATCACTGAAATTCTCATTGAAAACACTGAAATCATGTTAATAAAAGCCATTTTATACCAAAGAAATTATTGAATGCCTATAAATTAAAAATTGTTATCCTCAAAGGTAAAAATCATGATCTGTTGATCAACAAGAACTCCTTACATGATTGTATTTATAATTGATTTTTAATGAGGCAGACCAAGCTAGTTGAAATTTAAACAAGAGGCCCAAGGGCCTTAACGGTCACCTGAGTATAATACAACAATTTAGAAGTTAAATACACTGATAGATGAAGCATTGTTGCCCTAGCCCCCCCCCCCCCCTCCTCAAGAACCCCAAAAAATGAGGCCATATATTTAAAAATTTTGGAAGAGGCATCCTTGTCTATCATAATCATGCACTTAGTTTGTTTAAATAATCTCCAGTAGCAGAGAAGAAGTTTTTCAAAGAATCAATGCATTTTTACTATATAATCAATAGAGCCCCGCCCTAACACCAGAACCCCTGACCCAGGGGCCATGAAATTCACAATTTTTGAAAAGGCATCCCTATGCGTTTAAATAGTCTCCAGTAGCAGAGAAGAAGATTTTCAAAGAATCAATGCATTTTCACTATATAATCAATAGAGCCCCACCCTAACACCAGAACCCCGACCCTGGGGCCATGAAATTCACAATTTTTGAAAAGGCATCCTTATGCATCATAACCAAGCACTTAGTTTGTTTAAATAATACCCAGGAGCAGAGAAGAAGATTTTCAAAAAATTAAAGCATTTTTACTATATAATCAATAGAGCCCCGCCCTAACACCAGAACCCCTGACCCAGGGGCCATGGCTTTCACAATTCTGGAAGAGGCCCACCTCCTCATCATAACTACGTACTTAGTTACTTTATTAAATACCCAGGAGCAAAGAAGAAGATTTTCGAAGAATTAATGCACTTTCACTATATAATTTATAGAGCCCCGCCCTAACACCAGAACCCCTGACCCTGGGGCCATGAATTTCACAATTTTGGAAGAGGCACTCTTGCTCATCATAACTATGTACTTGGTAACTTTATTTAATACCCAGGAGCAGAGAAGAAGATTTTCAAAGAAATAATGCACTTTCACTATATGATCTATATAGCCCCACCCTGGGGCCAGAACCCCTGACCCTGGGGCCATGAATTTCACAATTTTGGAAGAGGCACTCTTGCTCATCATAACTATGTACTTAGTTCCTTTATTTAATACCCAGGAGCAGAGAAGAAGATTTTCAAAGAATTAATGCATTTTCACTATATAATCAATACAGCCCAACCCTAACACCAGAACCCCTGACCCTGGGGCCATGAATTTCACAATTTTGGAAGAGGCACTCTTGCTCATCATAACTATGTACTTAGTTCCTTTATTCAATACCCCGGAGCAGAGAAGAAGATTTTCAAAGAATTAATGCATTTTCACTATATAATCAATACAGCCCCACCCTAACACCAGAACCCCTGACCCTGGGGCCATGAATTTCACAATTTTGGAATAGACAGTCTTGCTCATCATAACTATGTACATAGTTCCTTTATTTAATACCCAGGAGCAGAGAAGAAGATTTTCAAAGAATTAATGCACTTTCACTATATGATCTATATAGCCCCACCCTGGGGCCAGAACCCCTGACCCTGGGGCCATGAATTTCACAATTTTGGAAGAGGAACTCTTGCTCATCATAACTATGTACTTAGTTCCTTTATTTAATACCCAGGAGCAGAGAAGAAGATTTTCAAAGAATAAATGCATTTTCACTATATAATCAATACAGCCCCACCCTAACACCAGAACCCCTGACCCTGGGGCAATGAATTTCACAATTTTGGAAGAGACAGTCTTGCTCATCATAACTATGTACTTTGTAACTTTATTTAATACCCAGGAGCAGAGAAGAAGATTTTCAAAGAAATAATGCACTTTCACTATATGATCTATATAGCCCCACCCTGGGGCCAGAACCCCTGACCCTGGGGCCATGAATTTCACAATTTTGGTAGAGGGCTCAATGCTTATTACAATGATGCCAACAGTTTGACTGCTTCATGTCCGGGAGTAAAGAAGAAGATTTTTTAAAGATTGCATTATTTTTGGTGGTTTTAGCCCCACCCCTCAGGCCCCGGGGGGGCAGGGACCATGAAATTCATAATTTTTGTTCCCCTTCACCCATAGATGCTATATACCAAATTTGGTTGAAATTGGTTGAGCGGTTCTAGAGAAGAAGTTAAAAATGTTCAAAAGTTAACGCACGACGGACGACGCACGACGACGGACAAAAACAGATAGCAATAGGTCACCTGAGTGACTCAGGTGACCTAAAAAAAAAGACCTGAAAAATCTTTGAAATTTTGGATATATATATTTGTTTATAAATGCTAAGAGAAATTTTAAAATCAAATTTTACTATCTTGACATGCTTGTAGAGAAATGGGGGTCATTTCCAAATATGGACCATTTTTGTGGATTTATATACAATTATTCAGGAAAACTACCTAAATTTACAAAAGAATAAACAAAAAAAAAATTACCCCATTAATATTTTTTCATATATTTAATACATTAGCAATCCCTTATTTAAAAGACAACGAAATTGCGGGTACCCTTTGTGTAGTGAAGTCCTTATTTGTAGAGAAAATGGGACATACCAAAATACAGAAATATTACTACAAAGAGCTAGGTTCACCTTGCATAAAACAGCCCTGTCCATATATCAATTAATTGACTAAAACCCTATATCCCATTTCAAATGTTAATAATTTTTTTTCTAGTGCCATGCCCTTTTATTGCTTGAAAAAAACTCAGGTGCTTCAGGATAGGTTTGTGATTTGTAAATGTGAAATCCATCTATGACTACTTATTTTTTTCCCTGGACCAGTGGTATTTTGAGATTTTTTCATGACCCCATTCAACTTTCACTATTGCTTTGATCTCCTATGATAGGGGACATGTCTCTTAATTTGAACAAACCTTACTTCCCATCACCTAGAGATGCTTAGTGGCAAGTTCATTTGAAATTGATCCAGTGATCTTGAAAACAAAACAAAAAAAAAATGTGGAAAAAGTTTACAATTGATAACAGACAGAGAGCTAGCCATGTGATAAACAAACTTTGATAAGAAAACCTGACTGAAGTAATTGCAGGAATTTCCCATAGTAAAGATTGCAGTTGGAAAAGTTGTGCTATGTAGATGATTCTAATAATTTTGTTTCATATTCGTCCCATTCACACTTGATGGAGGCCTTTTTTTATCCCTTAGTTTCTGTGTTCCAGTAATTTGAATTTGAATTTTTATCTTGCAACAGATTAAAAATACAGCCAAAATCAAGAGAATGAAAAAGAAACAGCTGCGACAGATTGAAAAGAGATGAAGAGATTGAATATCAGTGATCATAAAAAAAAAATGTGATGTAATTCAGAAACGTGCTGCGGTCCAACATTTTGCATTATTAATTTTAAAGTCCTGTTGATGAGGCCCTGGTTGGACAAGACTTTCTGATGAAATGCAGTACTTTTTATGTTCAGCTGAGATCATGTCTCACATGAGCTGTTTTGATTAAAGTGTGCCTGATGTCTGTTTTTTATTTCCATCTAACAGATGCATACCAAGTCACCAAAATTTTATTGCTTCAAAGAAGAGTTTCAATAAGGGAGGCTTAAATTTGAGCTAGAGTTATGTATTCTGTTTTTGATTTAGAACAAACCTAATAAAAATTGCTAATGTTTGCTAGGTCCCGGGAATAACTTTTTTAATTGAGAGGTTATACCAACAGCTTTGATAAACACTTATATAATACATTTATATGTTATTAAGAGAACACTGTTTCAGGTGAGCATTGGGGTCCGTAGGACTCGTGTATTGTATGTGATAGATGTCACTGGTTTGTACCTCCTTTTTGTTACAGTATAAATAAATATTTTATTTTCATGGTATTGAATTTTTCTTTTTTTTAGTTTTAATTATTCTGTTCAAATGTAAATTTCATACATTTTAAAAAAGCGGAATGTTTCTTGCTTTGGAGTTATACAGATTCCAAGAATATTCCAGGGTGGGTTATTGAAGATTGAGTACACAGGAACAGTATCAGTCAAGATAATCAGAACAAGAAAAGAAACAGAGCTGAAGAAGGCCCTGCAGTTTTCTTGTCTCTTTAATTTGTCCCATGAGAATGGGTCTTTGTTGTTTATATTTTCTTTTAATTGTATGAAGAACTAAAGTCTGTCTAATGATGAAGTGCACTCAAGTTCTTCATGTGACTTTAAAGTGTTCAAGAAGGGGAGAGCGGTTGACCATGACTGCAAAATGTAGAGGCATCATATTCTGTAGTTTATTTACACAGAGGAGACTTTTTTCAGGCTGAAAACATTTATTGCATCCCATAAACATGTAATAAACATTTCAATAGAATTGACTCTTTGGGTTAACATTGAAATATTCATTCAGTTGTTCATCTGTGTAGTAAGCAGGAAGACTAAAGGTTAAAAATTATGCATGGCATTGCATCAAAATAGTGATAAAAATAAACTTGACCCTTAATCTTGCTTGCCCTTTAACCAATTGACTCTAAATATGTAGCTGTCTTTTCAAAACCATTCTCCACATGCATAGCGATAGAAACTATGAAGTCTCCAAGTTACAAATGTTTGATCTCAACCTTTGACCATTAGTCCAGATTTATATGTCTTCTCACCATTTTCCTGTCTGCAGTAAATACAAGATATATAGGTTAAAACATCTAACCATACTGTAAAAAATATGAAGTATAGAAGTACAAGATTTGAAAGAGTTTAGAGCTCTTGATGGGATGAGAGGACCTAGAAATCCTTGATATCTTCATTAACATCATTATGTAATAAATTGAATTACCTTGTCATTGTGTAAATTTTGTTTATGAAAAAGTGAAATTGTTTTTCTGGCCCAGTGGTTCATGAGAAGAAATTTCCTATATATTTTAATGTAAAACTTGGATTCCCAATTGTGGCCCCACCCTACCCCCAGGGGCCATGATTTGAACAATTTAGAATCTACACTACCCCAGGTTGCTTCCAAATAAGTATCAGCTTTTCTGGCCCAGTGGTTCTTGAGAAGAAGATTTTCAAAGATTTTTTCTACATATTTCAATGTAAAACTTAGATTCCCTATTGTGGCCCCACCCTACCCCTGGGGGCCATGATTTGAACAATTTAGAATCTACACTACCCAGGATGCTTTCACTTAAGTTTCAGCTTTTCTGGTCCAGTGGTTCTTGAGAAGATTTTCAAAAATTTCTCCCACATATTTCAATGTAAAACTTGGATTCCATTTGTGGCTCCACCCTACCCCGGGGGTCATGATTTGAACAATTTATAATCTACACTACCCCAGGATGCTTTCACATAAGTTTCATCTTTTCTTGCCCAGTGGTTCTTGAGAAGAAGATTTCCAAAAAATTTTCCTACATATTTCAATGTTAAACTTGGATTCCCAATTGTGGCCCCACTCTACCCCCCGTGGGGTCATGATTTGAACAATTTATAATCTACACTACCCCAGGATGCTTCCACATAAGTTTCATCTTTTCTGGCCCAGTGGTTCTTGGATTTTCAAACATTTTTCCTATATATTTCAATGTAAAGCTTGGATTCCTAATTGTGGCCCCATCCTACCTCTGGTGGTCATGATTTGAATAATTTAGATCTACACTACCCCAGGATGCTTCCACATAAGTTAATGCTCTTTTGGCCCAGTGGTTCTTGAGAAGAAGAATTATTAATGACCCCACTCTATTTTTGTCTTTTCTTGATTATCTCCCCTTGGAAGGGGGCTTGGCCCTTCATTTTAATAACTTATATTCCCTTTCACCCAAGGATGCTTTGTACCAACTTTGGTTAAAATTGGCCCAGTGGTTCTTGAGAAGATGATGAAATGTGAAAAGTTTACAGACAGATGGACAACAGACAACAGGTGATCAGAAAAGCTCACTTGAGCTTTCATAAAAAAAATTCTGAGATAATTATATCTGGACAAAAAATATTACTATGTTATAGGGATCAAAAGTATTGTTGTTGACAATAATTTTTCAAAACAGTTACTGAGAAGCCTTTTAATGTTTCATATTAGGAAAAGAAGCTCAAGGGCCTTAAAGCTCAGATGAGTATAATTAATACAAATCCTGTAAAGGATTTAAGGATCCATAAAATGGCAATGCAGTGAAACCTGTATAATCCAACATGCACTTGGACACAGATTTTGTGTCAGAATGGACAGGGTGTTGAATTGCATTGTGTAAAGAGCACAGAAAATAGTACAAGAGGTTCATGGGCCACAATGCTCACCTGAGTCACTATTGCCCCTTTGTCCAGCAGATTTTTTCATCTGTATAGCAAGGGGATTTTCCTTCCCCGTTCTTTTAAAATGTGTTGTGAGCTACACGGAAAAGTATATAACTAATTATGTTTATAATGAAGCAAAATTTTCTGTCTCTGGTACTTTGCTATAAACATATTTTACTGTATATTCCTATGTAAATCACTTGATCCCAGGGGTCATGATTTGAACAAACCTGAATCTTAAATGAGGATGCTTCCATATAAATATGACTGATTATGACTATGATGTTCTTGGGAAGAAGATTTTTAAAGATTTTTCCTCTATGTTCCTATGCAAAGCTTTGATCACCCATTGTGGCCTCTCCGTACCCCGGGGGTCATGATTTGATTTGTACAAACTTGAATCTACACTATCTAAGGATGCTTCCATATAAATATGACTAATTATGACTCTGATCTTCTTGGGAAGAACATTTTCAAATATTTTTTCTATATATTCCAATGTAAAACTTTGGTCGCCAATTGTGACCCCACCCTATCCCACTGGGTCATGATTTGAAGAAATTTGAATCTAAACTACCTGAAGATACTTCCATATAAATATGACTGATCATGGCTTTGCTGTCCTTGATAAGAACTTTAATCGCACATAGTGGTCCCACCTTATCCCCAGAGGTCAAGATTTGAAGAAATTTGAATCTACACTTGTCAGCAACCTTTCACGTAAGTTTCATCTTTTTTTGGTCCAGTGGTTCTTAAAAGAATATGATTTTTAAATGAACCCACCCAATTTTCACCATCTCTTAATTATCTCCCCTTGGAATAGGGTGTGGTCCTCCATTTGAACAAACTTGAATCCCCTTCAACCAAGGATACTCTACCAAGTTTGGGAGAAATTGGCCCAGGGCTTCTGGAGAAGAAGATGAACATGTGAAAGTTTACAATGACTACAGACAACAGACAAATTTTGATCAGAAAAGCTCACTTGACCCTTTAGCTCAGGTGAGCTAAAAATGGGAGTGAAAATAAAGGTCGGAGTTCACATTGAAACAAATTTCAAAGGTTTCAGATTAAACAGTTTTCACTGTAAATAATAATAAAGCAAATAAACTGTTTGAGGAAGACTTATTGCTCAAAAACAAGAGAATTAGGTTGATCAAAGATCAACACAATGGCTTCTAATCTGAAAAGCTTTTGAAGTATTTTATTCCATTCAATATGATAGAAGGGGAAAGGGGCTATGACCCACAGGACACTACACTACTAGTATTCAATCAATTGGTTATGACAATTCACAATGAAGGTTGAGGTACCTCTGTAATCGATAGAACCTTGTCCTAACACATATTAACCATGCACTTAGTTTATCTGCTAAATACACCAGAAGACTTTAAAGAATCAATTCATTTTTGCTATAATATGATAGAGGCCAACCCCAACACCAGAACCCCTGACCCAGGGAATGAAATTCACAACTCTGAAAAAGGCACTAGTGCTCATCATAACCATGCACTTAGTTTGTCTGCTTAACATACAAGGGTAAAGAAGATTTCTTTTAAAAGTACAGTATTAATGCATTTTCACTATATGATCAATAGATCCCTACCCTAACACATGAACCCCAGCTGCTAGGGCCATGAATACATAATTCTGGAAGAGATACCCTTGTTCACCTGATTAATAAAGAATTTATGCATTTTCACTACATGATCAATAGATCCACATTCTTGCTCATCATTATCATGCACTTGGTTTGTCTTCTTAATAAAATGGGGGAGACAAGGTTTTATAAAAACATATGCATTTTCACTACATGATCAATAAAGCCACACCCTCCTAGCATATATATCCCTAACCCCAGGACCATGAATTTCATAATTTGGAAGAGGCACCCTTGCTCCTCATAACCATGCACTTAGTTTGTCTGTTAAATTACATGGAGGAAGAAAGATTTTAAAGAATTTATGCATTTTCACTATATGATCAATAAAGCCCCATCCCCTGATCCTGGGGGTAATGAATTTCATAATTTTGGTAGAGAGCTTATTGCTTATTATCATCATGCCTACAGTTTAGCTGCTATGTGTCCAGGCCTCAAAATGATAAACTGAGAACAGATTTAAGTCAAAATTTTAAATTGTATAACTTTGATATGATTTAAAAGATAAATTAAATTTTCATCACGTGTTTGTATGTCATACTAACATGCAAGTTTTAAAATATTATTGTTCAATCAGTTTATGGTCTTGGGCCCAGGAGTAAAGGTTTTTAAAGATTGCATTAATTTTGGTGATTATGGCCCAAGGGAGGTAGAGACCATGAAATTCATAATTTTTACCCCCCTTTGCTCAAAGATGCTATATACCAAAATTGGATGGAATTGGCTCAGGCATTCCAGAAAAGAAGCTGAAAATGTTAAAACAACGACCAACGGCAATGGATAGCAGCAGGTCACCTAACTCAGATGACCTAAAAAACTCTACTGGGTACTTGCAATTTGTTTCTCATGAATTTCTTTTGTACTAATTGTGAATGCATACTGCATTATTGCATATTTCTTTTGTACTAATTGTGAATGCATATTGCATTACTGCATACTTTTCATTATGATACAAAATACATGTACACTGTATATGTATAGAATAAACTTGCATATAATATAAATGATAGACAATAATAATACTGCACTTGAAATGACAAAAAAGGAACACAACATATTTTCTTTTTTCACATTTTATTTTGGTTTCAGCTTGTAAAAACTGAACACGTTTGTGATTATATACTGACATGTAATTGTGTATATGCAAACACCAATAAAAGTAATATCAGTACACTATATTTACACAGAGGAAATTTTAATGACCACCATTTTGTAAATCTGATAGTAAGCACAACTTCATTCTTTAAGACCTAACAATATATTAAAACTCTTTGATTTGATATCTGATATATTAATTTGCATCAGACTACAAATAACCCTGATTCTATTGGGAGAAAGTCTACCTGTACTTGTACTGATGTATAAGTAACAGTCTATTTGTGTGTAACTTATTTGCTGAGAGCAAACCTTAAATCAACATAGGATCTATTTTCCTTCTATAAATTTATAAATTATTTTGTTTGAAGAAGCTTGACCAGCAAGCTCAACATGGCTTGTTCTATACCTTTACATTTACTGGAAATAAACAGGTCCAGCAAAAGTTAACAATTTATTCTACAACACACATCATCTTGTAGATGGATGGGTCATTTGTTGCTTTGAGAAAATGTGGGAGCAATTTACAGTTATAATACCCCAAATCTTAATGAAAAAAAATCTAAATCTAACATATTACATGTATTTTAAAAAAAATCATGACCTGTACATTACATATATATATATCTGTACATAAAATATTGAAAACCCCTGGCAACTATGTTGCAAGGAGGCAAAGAAGTATTGCATTGGATGCTACTGGTATAAAAATGTGGTTTGTATGAAATATTGCATTAAGCTTTGCTATAAGATTGTTTTGTATACATATTAAAAAATATATATATAGACTTTCCATAATAAGACAAATCATATGTGCAATTTGTTTACCACACTGTGCAAACAATGCATTTAACAAGCTGTAACCTTTTCTGCATATTTATTAAAACCTTTTTTATTCCATGGACTAAACTGCAAGATGAAGATGATAAGAGACATGTACATGAATTGTACATAGACCTTAACTTTTAACTTGAAACATTAATACTATTTCATGAAATCAAATTCAACATCACAGAAAACCACATGCACTTTAGATACATATGAATATTAAACTAAGTACAAAATTTCACAAAAAGAAAGGTATAAATTTGTAACTTCATGACTCTCGGTCCATAAATAAGTCGAATTTACAATTTGAGTAGTATATAAGAGATCTTTAGGAAAAACTAATGTTTGTCATGAACAGCTGCCACACACTGGGATATAATAAAAGGAGGCCTAAGGGCCACAGAGCTCACCTGATCTAGTCTTACTAAGAATGTGAACTCAAATCAGTACCACCACTGAATTTTTATCTGAACTATTTACTAGAATATTGTTCAGGAGAAGAAAAAAATCTTACTTTCCTATACTTTTTCCCCCAAGTGAAAACCAAATTATTCTATATTTTAACCCCACTCTTGCTGAAATGTTTTGAATAAATACAGTTCAGAGGTTCTATTAAAAAACACAAAATTAGTACAATAATTTCCAATTTATCAATATCTAATTTTGAAAGATTTGGCTCTTCTATCAAGCAAACATAATCAACATCCCACCCAGAAAAAAATGGGGAAGGGGGTGTCACATCTTACATATATCAAAATAACACAAGAATTTGTGAGAAGTGAAAAAAAAAACTATAAAGTTAATAGCTGGCAGACAAACTTTGATTTAAAAAAAATAAAGTTGATTGACCTCTGATTATAGTAAGTTAATAAAATCAGATCTATTAAGGACTCATCTGCTACCTTCCATGTCCATCTAAGTTAGAACTGGAATAAGAGTCTCTCTTGTCCAGATCAGAATTGCTCGGGAGTTTAAGCTTAGTCATAGCAGGTGAATTTGAATGACTTCTGTTGGTGGGGGTTGAAGAGGAGGGAATTAGTGGAGGGGGAGGTCCTTGCAGTAAAGCAGGGGAGCCTACTTTTAGCCCACTGTGACTCACAAGAGGACTCATAGTTCTTGGAAAATGACCACTAGCTCTCAGTGGATCAAAATGTCTAGAATGGCCTAGCCTGCTAGATTCCAAGGCTAACTTTTCTCTTTCAAAACGCTCCCTTTCAAACTGTGGTAAGCGATCAAAGTACTCGCGCCTCAGTCTTTCTTCCTGGAGAAGAATTTCATCCTTGCGAACTCTCTCAGGGTCATACAGACCCACAGATGGTGGCTGCAGTCTTCGCAGCATACGTTCCCGCTCCTGTTCCATTTCTCTTTGGAATTGGAGACTGTGGTAACTAGTGAAGTCCATTAAACTCTTCTCCTGGGATCCCCATAAACTTTGGGGAGGGGGAATCCTATCTGCACCAAAAGGAAATTGAGAAGGCCCACCCAGAAGCCTTGAACGGTCCATTAAGTTAGATGCACCAAGTAAATAATCTGGTCTGAATTTGTCTCTGTCCAGTGCAGAGACCTCTGGTTCATCCACTTTTTCTTCCTTCACTTTAATGATGTCTTTTTCATCACGATTGTAACTAGAATCTGATTTGGCAGAGCCCACTCTGCCTCCCACAAGTGGTGACCTTGATCGTGACCTGGAATGGGAGGAGATTGTGTGAGGATGTCGCACATCTCCACCAATAAATGGTCTGTCCTTAGACTGTTCTAAATCAACACTTCCCCGACGTTCTCTATCACTTGACCTCCTTTCTCTGAAATACAAATAACATTTTCTTCTGAAAGCAATTGCTCTGTGAATATTTTATTTACAAAAAATCTTTAATTTGGTACAATGGAAAATGTATTATATTAATATCATTTTCACAACAAATTCAAATTCATATTGTCCAAGTTCAAGTCAAAAATGTCCTGTATAGGCAGGAATCCAAATAATTATGTCACATAGGTCAGCTGGGCCATAAAATGTATTTAAGTGGTTCAGTTGATCAGCAAAGACCAAAAACCACCAATTCAAACTTTTCATTGAAACAATCACTAACACCAGACTCTCTCCTCTTAAGCTACATTGTTTTAGGGTTCTATACATGTACTGAAAATCCTGATTACTCTAGGTCCATGGATTAACCAAAATTTTATTCACGAGATTCCTCTATCATGAATTATGTTTCACCTTTTCTTAAACTGCAAAGAATTTTCTGGACATCCATTTTAAGAGGAGGTTCTTTACTTTTCATGATTACATCGTTGAATCAAAGGATGCAGGTCCAACATTTTGCAGAAAACATGTGTTGTTATATTAATGACATGCTTTAAAATGAGAATTCACCTCATAGTGCAACATTTTTTAACAAATATCCAATATTCTATCACATTAAACTTATAAAAGCGCAGTCGAATTTTACTATTTACTGGTATCTGAGCCATTGGGCCACTTACTTGTTTAAGCCTTGAATTAAGGGTATGAAGTCATTTAGGTGCTTTTATGCATTTCAATTAACACTAATAAAGCTGATTTTCATCTATTTTAATTATATTCATGATCTCAAATGGCAAACAGCATATCAACATTATTTTTTTCTTTTTACAGTAATTTATTTCTACACAAATCCTATGTAAGCATTAGCATACACTTTATTCAGAAATGTGAAAAATATTGTTTCATTTTGTATACCTTTCCCTTTCTTCCCTTCGTCTGTCCAGTCCTAGCACCACTTCTCTTTCTTTCTCTCTTTCCTTTTCCTTCTCTATCTCCCTTTCCCTCTCATCTGGTTTGGACCAATGTGATCCAGAAAACAAAGGGGAAGATCTATGCAGGCGACTCCACTCCTGTGGTGAAGCTATACCTGGAATTTTGGGTATTTCCCTACCTGGGGTACCAAATGGACTTCCACCTATAACATTGCAACCAAAGTTATATATATAATACTATTTGTCAATAAACAAAAATTAATAAAACATTAGTAGTCATGAGGTAATTATTCCTTGTTGGACTGCAATTAACTTACATATATAAACTGATGTACTTTTATTGTATATCATGAAATGACATGAAGCACAATGATGAGAGAGAAATAAAGATCAATTCTTAATTACCTCTTCCTAATCCACCAAAACCTTCATGACTGGAGAATGGATAAGGTGAGGGCCTAGGGAATGAGCTCATACCTACAAGTGTGTGATAAAAACAACAAAATAAATTTCAACATTTAATTTCAAATGAAGATCAACCAGTCTTTTAGATTTATCAGTGTTTTATTAACTATAATCATATAAAAACTATTGATGCATTTATCTACACTTTCCATGAACTTAAATAATGAAGAATCTAAATTATGCTTTTAACAACAAAGAAATCAATGTTTACAGTTCTACTGTAATGGACCCATACCTAGCAGTGAGGATGGTGTGGACAGATCAGTGGGTCTGTGGAGACTACTACTGGACAGATTCCGGCCCGACTGTAGGGGGTCCAGACTTTTCCCCTCCCCTCCTTTGGAGACTTCAGAACTTTCCTGCTGGTGGCGGTGGATCTTCCAGGCAATCTGAACATGCATGGTGCACCACTTCCCACTTTTCTGAAATGACAGTAAATTACATGTACACACATGTATACATCATCACTCATCTATTCTAATTCATGTACCTTAAACTTTCTCAAATAGTTGCAAATCAGTGTTTAATACCATCTAATGTATTCTTTCCATGATTTTTGGGTACAAAATTTGTAACAGGATAAGGCTTCTCTTGTCCTGAGTTCAGAGACAGGGTCAGGATTAAGTGGCATCAATGCTAAAATACTGTATACAGCTCTGACTACATTCAAACTTATTTTCACATCTCCTTAACAATATCATTTTTAAACTCCAGACTGAATTCAAAGTCTTTGAATGCCTTTAACTAAATACTAATTTCACATTATCAATATTTAAAGGAAAAAACTATTCTGCCTTAAATTATGCAAAATAAAAACATTGTTGAAAATAGGTCTGTATACAGTGTTCATATATTGCTAGTCTGCCTCCTCAGAACTTTGTTCTTACTGTACCAGGGTGGTTGGATCAGTGTCCTTTAATTTAAATACAGCCTTCCACTAGAAATTTACAAAAAAAGAACATAGGGGTATAACCTAGGGAAAATGCCCATTGTTTGAAAACAAGATAGTAAAAAATTAAAATAATCAACAAGAAATTTTATTTCATTTGTCAGTTAAATCAATATTTACTTAACTTGCTATAATATTAATACAGTATGTAAGACTCTTTTTAGTAGTGGAAGTAATCTAAAATCTATAGAATAACACATTCATACAAAACATATAAAATCAATCATTTCCACATACTAAAACATAATTTTTCTTTATTACTAGGTTCTCACTCATTTTTCTGCAAAGTAAATCTTCTAAATTTGAGTCATAATGTACCTTTTCTATTAACTAAGATATGGGGCAAAGACTTCTATGCACTAAAAGTAAAATTTTATACCAAAACATTTGTATATCTAGTGAAATTACTTGAAGTCAAGCTATTCAAGGGTAATATCACAATCAAGATTCAAATGCAGATATTTGATACGAGTTGCCTGGCTCAGAAAGTACAAGGGTCATTCAAAAATATGCGGACTTTTTGTCATATATTTTTTTTATTTAACATCATCACCAAATTTGGTAGACATATTTTAGCAATAAATCTAAATAATTTGAATAGAAAAATCCAAATACATGAGCTACATTAAAATTATCCTACATTTAAGACTGCATATAGGGTCATCGAGCATGGTCAAAGTTGAGTAATTCACGAACAATACACTATATAAAGTCCATAGTCATATCTCTTATAAATGGTGCTTGAACGAAAATAGAATTTAAACATTCAAATTTAATATTGTTACATAATTTCAGATGCCAAATTGTAATGTAATACATTGCTTCATTAAAAAGAAATCAATTTCAAAAGACAGGTAGTCCTCTTTGAAAAAAAAAAAAACAACAAAAAAAGATGACATTGAAGGATGTCGTGGAGCAGCAAGTAAGCAATGCAATTTTGTTTTGCACTCAGGAAAACTCTAAATCTGAAAATGCTAGAGAAACCAAGAACTATATCAAAAGTGAACTGTACATTTGTATATAAATGGCAAAGACAGTTTTTGAGAGGTAGAGACTGAATCAGACGGTTGTCAGTCTACAAAGAAACAGATGAAATGTAAATATTTCCATTTCTTTTTTTTTTTCTCTGTGATAACTCTTTGAAAGTTAGTTGAGTTGATTTCTTGATCATTCTACCGGAATGTAAATTTCACCAAACAATAGGTCAGGAGCTAAGGTGGCCTAATATGCATGTAAATCCTGTGCGGCTGTCTTTGTGTTTGACGTCAGTGGGCAGGGACTATTGAAATTGACATGGGAGGCCTCGTGTAATTTAAATCTATTAGTTTACAATTTTAAAATCTAAATTTTCAATTTTTTTTCACAATAAAATGGAAATATAAGGAATCACTGTCTAGTTAGTAGAATATGCCATGGACATCAACGATAGTTGGAAACATGGGATAATTTATGCATAACGGGCTTTGCCCATTATGCAAATTATCCCACATTTCCAACTATCGTTAATGTCCATGGCATATTCTACTAACTAGACAGTGATTCCTTAAAAATCTGCTCAAAAGAGTTAGTAATGTCATGGAAAGTGATGTGCACTTTACTGTTTCGGAACTACTGAAAGCAGAGCTATGTGGTAAAGAATTTGACTTAAGCTACTCAAACAGTAATGAATTGTTAGCAAACTTGGTGTCCAGTGTTATGAAGACATTTTTAATGAATTAAAGGCACTACAGACAGTGTGAGAAATGAAGAGGGAGGGTAATTTTGAGAAACTTTGTCTACATATTTTTCTCTCTTTTTTCTTTATCATATTTAGGGCTACATATATGATTGAGGTATCTTAGGGTTCAATTCAATTTTCAATTCTTAGGCCACAATTCAATTACTTTCCATTCAAATAAACATTTATCTAATTCTCTGATAATATAATAAAGAACTTTATTGTTTGTAAATTTTAATATCTAAGATATTTCTCTAATATATTTCTGGATCATTACAAGTATATATTGATATTTTACTTCAATTTGGAAACAACCTCTCTATTAAATCATTTAATGTAACATTTTAAAGCACAATAACTTGCTCTGTATGTATTTTATAATTTTTTTAATGCAATTTTATCTCATATTTGATCACTGTCTTTAACTTTGTCTATAATTGTATCTCTTCATGCCTGTGGGCTCTTGATTGGAAATAAATTGTTTATTGTTTTATTTTCATTCTGTTTTAACTTTTAAATATGTTGATCCATTGTAGATATGTAAATGTACTATGTTTTTGTTTCCAATGATTCGCCTTGTCTGTGGTATTTCCCTACTTAAAATTAATCTCTGTAAAACAAATTATACCTATTGCAGCATTTAATTTTTCTTTCAGGCCAAAATATTTCCACAGTGGGGACATAAGGTTCGCTTGTGGGTTTTTAATCAAAATTACAAAGATTTGACTACTGGCATCCACCATTTTTAATGTTGTAAATTGTAAAGAAAAAAAAAACAACAAAAACATTGTTTTCATTCTGAAAAAAAAATGTAAAATGAACCGAATTGTAATTTAAGGCTGTTGAATTGAAAATTGAATCGAATACTGTGCATTGTGATTCAGGTGCACCATGATAAATCATTGCAGCCCTATTCACAATAAAATACTTTTTTTATCAAAATAATATTTTATATACAAGTAATCAAGTATTGTTTAATCCAATTTCATATTATATTAATGAAAAAACACTACATTTTAAAACCAAATTTAATCTTTAGTCTACTGAAGCTATAGGCATTTTCTCTGTCTTATTTTACCTAAGTTCTTAAATTTTTCAGATCTAATAACCCCACTGGTTTCTTAGGGGCCATTTCAACACACAGAAGTCTATAGAGAGATTACAAGTCACAACATTTAAAAAAACTATGAGCCATCTAGATACCGAAAGCTTCATGGGGAAACCGTCAAGACAGCTTATCACGTACAGAACAGAAATACATGTCATTCAGTTATCTAAAGTAACGTGGAGATTTTATTTTACCAAATTGGGAAAGATCATTACCATTGCTTTTCAGAAAAAACATCTTAAAGGACTTATCGCATGATTTTTCAAAAATCTTAATTTTATGAAAAATATTATCTACAACCTTGTTTATTAAAATTCTGAATACAATAAACGTTTTTAAAAGCATATTTTAAGAGATATTGAGAATTGAAATTCAAATACGGCAATATGCATATTTCAGTCGGATTTCGGCAAAATACTGCTCTGACGTCATAGGCGACAATTCAGTGATAGAGAGATGAGAAGTTGCACATTATTTTCGAAGTTATCAACGACAAATGCAGCTTAATTATGAAAAATGCTGAAAAAATTAATTCCTAACGTAATTTTCAATTACTATAGAAACATTAACTAGTTCTAACGTATAAGACTTTTGAGATATTTTCGTTTTTTATTCCAAACATTTAGAATCTGTAGGTCTGATTACGGCAATGTTTCGTGATCGGAAAATTATTTTTCAAGACCGCCATCCTTTACAAAACATATGAAAGCATACTTGCATAAATTAATATTATGTTAAAAACGAAGAATAACAAATTTATGTAATATTAAATTTGTGAATCAAATAAGTTAATACATGTGATAAAATGACAAATCAAATTGTATTGTGATGGCGAGTTTCTTCGTCTTCGCCGCGTCTCCCTCGCTATCGTCGCTGCTATTTTTACAATGTTAACGGATTTTTCAGATTATTTCTTGCTGACAATTCTAAAATATAAGGTTGGATATTAAATTTCATATCGATAAAATCAGTGATTTGGTCTTCCATAACGCAGAAAATTCAGGTTGTATCGCGTATATTTTAGTAAGATTTACGTGAAGAGCTGATCAGCCATTGTCGCCTTTGACGTCACAGGGTCACGTGATCGCTATCTAATTAAGTTAGATTTTTAATTCAGGGGTTTTCATTTGAGTCAATAATTGGTTAATTACCGCGGTTTATCCGCAGTAAAAACACAAAATTTATAAACTGTGGTCATAAGGAACGTTTTACGCTTTTAATTTCAAATAATTTAGAAACATGCGATAAGTCCTTTAAGATTGTTCTTTATTGCACTTGCATGGGGTACACCTACATTTTATTACACATACAATTGATAAGAAAGTACAGAGTACAGCACTTGAGGAGAGCCCCTTCCACCTTTCCCTTAATTCAACTAAAATCACTCTGAAACATATACTAGTGCATGCAACTATGATATATAACATAGAACATCTAAACAACATGTATGTAGACAGAACATATTGACTAAGCAGGAGAGGGTGTGGATAGAGCCTGAGGCTACACTAACTTTGTGGTGGGGCAGAGAAGCAGCTGAAGGAGGGACTTTCTCTTGCTCTCTCAGGGTCGGGATCAGCTGACCGGGATGTAACAGGCCACCAGCTACTTTCTACAATGGGAGCACATACACATGGCATATATTATAGAATGCTCTGACAGTGATCAGTCACTTCTGTGTATCAAATGAGTGATGATTTATAATTCCTCACCCATCACATAAAGTGTGTCAATTATGGAGTTTCATACAGTTTTTTTTTTTAATTTCATACATTAAACTCACTGAAATCAAAAGATTACTACTGTTATTTTCAAAAATGATGTATAACAATTGATAATGAAAACTAAATTTTTAACAACACCTTTAAAAATGAAACATAAACGATTACCAGTTATATCTACTGCAAGACAACAAAGCATAATTTAGGTCATAATTAGTACATACATGTCTATAGGTAGTTCTATGGTTCTTGAATATCTAATTCTTTATGGAGGTGAGTAAATATGCAAACCTTTGGTTGAAAAGCTCCCGATGAACTGGAATTGAGGGAACTTCCTGAATGAACAAGAGGTGGCACCATTGGATAGCCCAGCAAGCCTGGAGTCTGAAGTAATCAATTATACAGCTCTCAGTGGATAATTGACATTATAATTTAGAAAGTTCTTATTTTAATGGAACAAAACTAGCCACAAATCTAAACAGCATTTTTTTATGCATAACACTGATTATAAACTCTATTTTCTTCCATAGATATATTTGGGGGGAAAAAAACTTAGTATGTTAAATGAAAGTAAAAATAATTTGTCATAGAAATGCATAAAACCACTACCTATTGTTTATTCAAAACAACTTACCGCTCTATAAAATGATGACTCAAATGGTTTTGGGACCTTGTCATACTGTAAAGTAATAAATAAGTTTAAAACACATAAATATTTTCTTTTAACATAAATGAAAATATTTGTGAAGTCAATCAAAAGTTTCAATCCTTTAGTTACAGTAAAACTCGTCTTATCTGGATGTTGTGCATTCTGAAAGCTTGCCTATGGCTGTGCAAACTTTTAGCCCCTTTCAGTATATTTAATTGTTAATGAAATGTTATCTAATCTGAATGTTGTCTTATGCAGCCATTTTCTATGGAACCAGTGCCCAGTGGTGTCCAGATTAGACAAGTTTTACTGAATTAATATATTTTTGTTCCACATTTTAAATATTGATACCCTGCATGCTATCTTTCTTATCTCAGTATCATTTATCTTGTCATGATTTGGATGGCCTGTCATCATATCTCATATGACTTTGATGGCCTGTCATCATAATCTACCTACTATTTTTCACTGCTGGTAACTGTGACTTACCAAATGTGGGGCTGGGGAGGGGACTAATGACCCAGTAAGACCTGGCAGGGCAAACATGTGTTGATGTGTGTGCTGGTGCTGGTGTTGATGTTGATGCATGTGCTGATGTTGGTGGATGTCCGCACGACCGTACGGTGTAGAGCCAATAACAGGGAGACTCGTCCGCTCCTGGGCTGCCAAAAATCGTCGATTTAGTTCCTCACGCAAAATTTCTTGACCTTCAATAAGAAAAGTATCATCTTTCATACTTTATATGTTACTTTCCATAGTAAAAGTTTTGATTTCAAGTGATTTTTCAGTTTTTATTTTAACTTGTTTTTAGCCATGCATAAATGAAGCAAAATTATATATCAATCTTAATGAATACTCTCACAAACAAAATCTTACAATCCTTTATAAAATATAAAATCTTTTATTATGAGCTTCTAGTATGAGAAATAAGCAAGTTTTATTACTCTTCATTGCTCAGCTAAAAGCACTTACTAGCCAGGGACATGGACTCTGGGGAAGCATGTGCTGACAAACCGGCTCCTCCTATTGTGTGTGGTGATGTCAAAGAACCATTGGCAGCCCCTGGAGGCAGGGGAGCTGCAAACATACTTTGAGGCCCTGGGGGAGGGAGGAGATTATGGAGGGGACTGGGGGGCAGGCTGGAGAATGAAGAACTGTGACCGGCAGTACTGGAATGCAGACCAAACTGAGGTATCCCTGGGGAGTGGGTCACAGGGGTGTAGGGATTGTGAAGATGGGGGGTACTACCACTGAAATAAAGGAAAATAAAGAATTGAATGTATATCAGCAACAATATGAATCATTATAAATAAATAAATAAATGAAGACACTTTTTGAAAGCTGCCTTCTTTAAATCACATCAATTTTCAAGCTATTTGAAGCAAGATATTTCTTAAAATAATGGTTCTGTAACAATAATATACAAATTTACAAAACTGTAAAATATGTTTGAACACTATTTGCATTGTGCATTACTATAAATCAATTTTCTGGGCCCCCTATTGAAAAAATAACAATAGCTTTATGTACTCTACATTCCAGATGTTTTTAATAAAGACGGATGTAGGTTCTGCTGTTTAAAATCAATAATGCATGTTTTATGGATTGGATTAATATACATTTGAAGTCAAATTACATTTTATTCCTGAAATTTTGTTCTCTCTATCAGATATTCTGACATTTAACTAATTTATAACATGTTCCTATGTGAATTAGAGACTTATCATTTGTCAGCAGTCAGAAGTCAGGCTCTAGTAATTATCAGATCTCATTACTACTTTTACTGACAGTCTGTAAATCACTCTTTTTTTGCCAAAGAAATCTGTATCCGAGCATATCAGTATGCACTTGTATTCCATGCCAACAAATACAGATCAGCGCAGGTCGGCTTTGGCAGAGAAGCGTCAGGTAACAGGATGGGGAGATGAACAGGTTATATAACAGGTGAGTTTTAAACACCTGAATAAAACCCATTTCTCTGATCTTTAGGCCCATAATGAAGATTAACGACACTCATTTAATATCATTTCATTCCCTGAATTAATCTTATTTCTTGCACGACAAGGTCCACAGGTGAATGTCTAAGACAGCATCCATTTCATAATCTGCATTTTTTTGACATACTGAAAGTTTCAACAAATCAATTAGCATAATGAAAAGTGATATTTGATAAGCTTAGTCTCATATTCGACACATATAAAAACAGTAAAGACTCATCGCATGATAAGGCATTATCTCTATGCATTTCAGCTGTTGACAAGCTAAAGACGACATTAAAAAGCAGATTTGAAAGGAAGGATTAGAGCCATCCAAGCCAGTTTATCTCACAATAAAGAATAAATCAAGTTCACCAGAACAGGTAAATCAGACTTATCGGGGATTTTAACCTTGTGCTGGTGTTTTGTTTGCTTTGCTGATCAGATGCCTATGTGAAAAAGTGTTAAAACATTATTTTAGCACTTGGCACAAAATTCGAAAGTAATGCAAAGTATTCAATTCCTGACAAATATCTGACAAATTATTTGACAAGTGATTTGGTTAAGATCAATGTAGTATTTCAGTCCACACAGACAAGAAAATTTCCCTCTATGAACCTCCTTCCTTTAGACATTTGATCATCATCTATAAGTAGACTTCAAATCAAATTGCTTACTTTGATGACAAATGTTATTTCACTATTCCAAGTGATATTCTTTTCAAGTAATCCCCATAGATTAATAATCCTTCTTTAAACCTGACTAATGTTATCAAATACTCTAGACTGCCTGATTTTATTTTGCAGTAGCTCACATTTTTTTCTTTCTGAGAAAAAGCCCTTCAATACAATAGAAAATTGAATTCATCATGTCTGTGAATGGATGATAAGGAAATGAAATTGATTTTCACAATTTTTTCAACTTATATGAGACAAGAGATTGTTTTAAATTGGGAATTAATGAAAGATACTCTTTAAGATACCAATTATCAAATTATTAAATAATATTACGTAAAATATTCTTTTTGATATAACATTAAAAAAATTCAGTTTAGATCTCCTTAAACAGCAGCTGATAAACAGATGTACTGGAAACATGTTACCCCAGTTGGCATTCTATTATGAATTGAACTCTTGTAAAAGATGCAGAAACTCAGTAATAGATTATACCTATGCCAGGGCTTGGAAAATCCAAAACTTGGTGGCAAAGGAAAGTCTTTGTCACTTCTAGGGTCCTCCCTCCGAGGGGTTCGTACGGGAGAGGGAGAAAATTTGTGCTGGTCCTTGTGCAGAAGTGTGTCACTGGAGGCTCTCGGAAATGGTTTCTTCAAATGAGGGGATCTAGAATCAACTGGTTTTGATGAGATGGGTGACCTTGGTTTCTCTTTTGATGTAATCAAAGGTCCATTAGCTATCACAGATGAATTGGTTGTCGTGGTTCCAACAGTACAACTGGTGGTGGTGGTGGTAGAAGCTGTAGGGTTGGTTTCTGTGGCAGTGGTATATGCACTGACTGCGGTCGTCGTAGTAACAGTTGCCGTGGTTATACCACTATCTGTCTGTGACGATGCAGTGGATGTGATTGGTGTAGAGCAGGGACTGCTGCAGGAAGTGGTGGAAGGGGCAGGACATTCTCCTGTCAATCAAACAAAAAGCATTCATTCACCAATAATGTACTGTTACAGATAATATGACATGCAACAAGTTTCTCTTTTGACAAATGAATCTAAATGGGCAAAAACAGGTTGCGACAGCTATCAATATTTAGTACTTCATGCTTAACTGCTGCAAGAATGTTTCTTATTTTAAATGCATTGTGAAAATTTAATACTTACGATTATGGTTCAATGTTGAAAATAAATCTGAACTTGCATTAGATGCCTGGAAAGAAAAACACATATTTGTAATAAAAATTCATACCGTCAAATTAACTTTTTAAATGAAATCAGATTCTAGCCTCAATAAAACATGCTTCCAATTATGACTGCAATATCAAGAATAGACCAAAAATAATAATGGAAATGACACAATGATTCTCACCATCTTTTTGTGAGCAGTAACTACAGACTAATAATCTTGTAACTACATGGTGCATCACAATCAATGAAAAAAAAAAAATCACCCAGTGATTGTTTATCAATGACAGACAAATAATATACACAGAGAGGGAGGAACTGACAAGATGTTTCATAAATCCTAAGCCTGCCGAATGGACTCAAGTGCTGCCCAACAGCAAAGCACAAGTATTCTGTCAGCTTCCACAGAATATATCACCTCAACAGCATGTACAGAACAAAGTCCAGGCCCATATCAAGAATTCTCAGCTTCCCCAGATCTGTAAACTACTAAGTCTTGGTTTATAATACACTTACTTCAATGTGGTTTTCACGTTTAAATGAGACCTTTAAGAAAGTCATATTGGTAATCCATTAATGCTGTTCTCTTACTAAAATCTTGAAGAAATCATTAAGTTATTTATCCTAAACTCTTAAAGCTATTAACAAGGTTTAATTTTGTCTCTAGTTGGGCATTATATCCTCTTCTCAACCAAAATTCAAATACCGGCTTAGGTTCAGATCACTGAATTACTAGCCCTTAGTTTGTTAATCATATCCAATCTAATCCCACACCAACTTAATTATAGGCACCTAGATCAAAATTTAATCACAGTACAGGATGTATTATTTTTCTAAAAAAAATCTTTTTTCCCCCTCTAACTCATTTCAATTACATAAATCTTTGTAATAATGTATATAATAATCTTTTAATGATAGTGCTTGAAAGCTTCTCAGCTCTCTTTAATAGATCTTTAAAAAACCAGTAACATCAAGTGCATCAGTTTCATCTTACATTTTTCACCACAGATATATAATATGACTCTTTAAAACATTGAAGTGATACACTTCGTACCAGGCAAATCATACACAGGAGTAACACAGATCATCAAGTTATCCACTTGCTTTTAAGAGACATTATTTTCTGGATTTAAGATGATTGTATATAAAATAAACCAACAATTGAGTTTTTTCTCTCTTATCCATGCATCTTAGTCTAATATCCAAAGGCCATCGACCAAGTCTAAATCTGATGACTCTGATACAAGCCTTAACAACATGACAAAAATAACTCATCTAAAAATAAAACAGTTCAACAGTCCTTCAAAATTTCTTTCTATGATCAAATAAAAAGTATTGTTCATATTGTATAAGTGGATAATGGAGGATGGTATTTACTCCTTAAAACCTATCAAACACTTCAAGATTAAAGAGTTACACAAAAGAGTGAGTGGGGAGAGGTGGTCCCAGCACAAACACTGTTCCATCATCCTGAACACAGCCCTCTAATTGTAAGGTGTTTGAGAAGGTTGTTTAGTTTAATACTGAGTCCATAGCTTTGGAGAGAATTGCAAAGATGTTGAAAAGCTTATTCATCTAATGAGAGCAAAATAAACACCATATTACAAGAGCTTTATCACTAATTCCTGCTCAGTTTTGTCACTGGTTAATGAGGGTTAAACAAAAAAGCAGCAAGCATACTCACCAAGAGGTAATTTACTTATTCCCATTAAAAAAAAACCTACATGATATGCGTACTCTCCTGTGAAGCTGTCAGAATCTATCAATGCTGTACTATGTTTGCTGGAGCTACTAACATTGCTGCCAACACAACAGTACACTGCTGACAATATCTGCCATGATAATATTTGGTATTACAAGCTTATCTGGTCGAGCTATTATTAATACACTACAAACATCCACCAATTGCTTCCATGCATGTAATTGTACATGGTATGAATAAATGCACAAATTTACATAAATCCTTGGTGATAGATCACTAGCTCTTGCTCAGCAGATCAATATCTGTACAAACGCAAGGATGCAGAAGAGCACCGCTCAAATGATTTTCATCCATACCTGACACAGAATTTCAGAAATCAGTCGGATATTCTCTCTCTCTCTTTGCTACCTTTTTTGGAACAAAAGATAAAAATCTAACATTGATTTCTTCAATAATTGTCGACTTGTGTTGTTTTTCTATTATTGATGAATATTTCCAATGTTTTTTAACAGTTCAAATGAATGCATTTTCCACACTCTCTTGCATTCAGCTAAACCCCAGATCAACATCAAAACATAAAATAGCAAGGCTCTGCTACAGTAATCACAGGGGCCTTAAAGATTGCATAAAAAGCTCTGATAAGTCATATAAAGGTGTCTAGGGAATTTAAAATGAAAGAATCCCTTGACTTTGTAGGTATCTCAACTTTAAGAATAAAACATGAAATAACATCTGATAATGAGAGATATCATATTCTCCGTGTGGGACCGCGATACACTTATACTATTTGAGCAAATCCTTAAATGAAATTGCCTGCTGAGACTAAGAGATATCCGCTGGCTTAAATTTTCTTTAGTATCTCTGAAAACATAACCTGATTGGAAAAAAAGAAATCGATTCTCAATTTTACGATAACTAAACAGAAATTAGTTGTAATCATGCCTGCTATATTTGACATTCTATAGGCTCCCCAATTAGTTTTTTGCCTCGTTTACGGAAAACATACAGTACTCACCATTCAAGTGTATTAGTGAGCAGAAGGCACTTAATGCGTAATCCATGTATCCCTTGTTCAACACATTTTTCAATATAACAGCCCATGCACAATCAATACAAATTATTTCTCCTGCACACTTTGTGAAGGATGTCCCTTTCTGTAGCTATCAACAGCTGTGTCGCCATGTAAATTATTCAATATGCAATGTACATTTTTATCATCAATTTTTTCGCAACAAAAAAACTACATGTACATATGAGCAGCTGTCCTATGTCAGAAGCTATCAATGCTAATAAAACAAGCTTCAACTGTGTTAATATTTCCAAATACTTTTAACTTCAAACGAAAACGGCTCTAATCCAATATTTAAGAGGGCTTAAATATTTTAAAGAGAGAGGTCCACACAATGCTGTGTTGAATAACATTTCATGTTCGCTACAAAAAATGTCACAAATAAGAAAAGTCTGTAGCAGAGAGATCTTAATTAAATCCTTTTTAGCACGTAAAGCCGGGTGAAAACAGCGCCATGGATCATTAATTCTAGGGAAAATTTTGTATTTGATCTGTCTTTGAAAAGAACTATGATCCATATGGATAAACTATTCTTCAATTTAACACAGACTTCAAATACAATTTCCACCCTGTCAAATTTTTAAAGTCCATAAACATATTTTCTAGATTTATCATTCATGGCTTTTTTTTTTTATCTCACCGAACACACTGACTTAACCAGATCAACAGATGAGTGTTGATTTGAGTGTCAATGGTTCAATATCAGTAAATACAATATACTCCTTAAATAACTACCAACAGGAAAAACATTTAAAGCTGGCTAATGAAAGGTAAGCCCTGCCTTTTGAGGGGTAGTTTGAAAATCTGCCCATATTTACTTACAACTAAAATGACACGTAGACCTTTTGCCAATATCCCATTAAAACTTGCTAAAAGGTTCAGAACAAACATACACAGGGTCAAAGACCATGTTATACATATATGTGACACAACTAAAAAATGGCCACAGCAGACACAGTGAGCTAATGTTATGACACAACTGCCAAGAATGAAATATTATACTTTTATGTACTATTCTTCATATAATCTATTTTCATCCAGCATAATAAAAAAAAAAAATAATAAAAAAAAGGTCTCTTTAATGCTAGTGCATTGTATCACTGAGAGCACAAACACAAAACCAGCAGAGATAAATAAAGTGATGGAAGATACCTACTGGTGGGAACGTTTTAAGAAATTCAACAGAAATTAACAAGGGACTGCACCTAAATGCAGATATTAAGCAATACCCTCCCCCTTCATTCATAACTCTTCATAGAGTATAAATCACATATTCGTATCTCCTTCTAACACAAACACACAAATCATATGACTGGTCAATTTTAAAAAAATGTTAAACTATTAAAAAGCTTAATTTATTTATATACATTCTCCTTCCTTAATTGGCTTTTTGGCTTAAAAACATTGTTTCATCATAAAATTTCAAATTGATTTTCTCCCTAAAACAGAATGAGAAAGTTGGACTTTTATCATGATGGACCTACAGAGGGAGGTGAAAGAGTTACGAGATCATTTAACGTAACCCATCAACCATGCTTAAAAAAGTAGCAGTAATTCCACTGCCTCGAATACAGTGCTGACAAATAAACGCCACTGGGGAAATAAGACACTGCGAAGCAAATCAAATTTGCTTTTATTCTGCTTTCACACCATCTATGGAACATTCAGACTAATGCAATGCTTTATGTTTTCAGACAGAATGAAAAATGAATTTCAATTACCGTAACACAATTATTTTGACAATTACAAGTGATCCCTGGAGAGGTACTTTCCTCCAGAAAATTCATTTGTTGGTGCATACTGATAGTTAGAGGTTTGTTCCAGCTCCAGCTACAAAAGAGGCCATTAAGTGAGCCAGGACTCTCCAGAGGATATTAAAAAAGAAAACAAGAGACCCAAATTGACCATGAATCAGGCATCTGATAAAAACTAATTCGTCTAATACCCACACTGAACGGAGTGAGAATGTATTACAGTATGATGGTGTCGGTGGGATAAATAATTCACCTTAATGGCAGATTTACATCTTTCCTGTACCATTTCAGTTGAATACCCAATAGGACACTGAAATTGTGTTTGGCTGAGGGAAAACTAAAAATGCATACATCTTAAGTTTTCATCGAGGGAATCAACTGTACCACAAGTATTATCCTTTTCAGGGCAAAAACATTCCCCCTTCCTCACTTTGCCAATTAGATAAAAGTAAGGATCATATTCCTTTAACAATAATTTTACCAATTTAATTTGTCTACACTAGGAAATGAAATTCTAAAATAGCCTCCTTAGGGTACCTGCCAGCCAGCATGACCAAACAAAAACAAAAACATGAAAGATAAACCATCTTTTGAATTTAACAAATTACGTGACTCATAAAATAACACAACAATAGAAATCCCTAAAGCATAACATGTGATAGATACCCTCATAATGATTCAAAAGTTACATCATCATGATCATAGCTGTACAAAAACCATCAGATTTTTAAGCACATGGATTCTGATAGCAACATCATTAATTAGGTTTTATCACAGAAAAATGCATTTGTGACAATAAAGTGTGAAAAAATGCATAAAAACTTTCATACAAGTTATACAGAAACTGTCAAGTACAGTTGAACTTCAGTATCTTGAACACTGATATCTCAAATACCATGGATAATATATTGGAGTGATTTTTAAGTCTCAACCAATTTTTCTTTGTTTTTAAACCTCAAAAGTTTTTTCTCAGTCCCAGCGAGTTCGAGATAATGAGGTTTGACTGTAAATCATCACACCAGGTATAAATCAGAAAGTTCTGCACATTATTCAGATTATTTTAATTCATGTTTCTCTTGCTTTCACTTGCTTTAATAATATTAATCAGGGTATGGAATCAAATTAACACATTCAACATTATAATTATTACTCAAGATCTGATTTTTGAGTTAACATTAAATGTTTAATCAGTCATGGACACTCCTGTGACTACTATCCCAAAAGTGAAAAGTCTTTTATGCTACATTGCGTGATATCATGAATAAAATCGAATTAAAGTACCATTTCTGTCGTTTTACTGCTACTTTACTACATGTAGTAATCAAAGTGGTGATTTATTTAAGGAGTAATTAGAAACACTGGCAATTAGTAACGAATGTCAAAGTATCATAAAGGTCAAATACAAGTGAGAACGTAGAGGAAATACATACTCACTGCAATAAAATCACTCACTCCCAGTAATTTTATCTAATGAATAAATTCTGGCTTCTTTTATTAATCTTTAATACTTTATATAACTTTGTCCATTAATATTATTAACAACAAAGGTTATGCTATCATGGTCACAAATATTGAAGCATATGAACAAATAAAGATGAGAAACTGACATTAATATTTTGTTAAAGAAAGCAAACATAGTAATATTCCAATCTAATAATGTTCTTCACCTCATATCTTGCTTATTAAATGAAAATTCCACAATAATAACTGCTGTCATACACAATGGTACATATTATGATACATAAGGAAGAGTCGTAATTTCTTCAACACTTGCTTGACGTCACAATATGTCTCCATTACAATAACTGTAGGTCATAACCATATGATAATAATGGTGTGTTAGATTTCCAAATTATATGTCCATTTGTATCTCAACTTTCAACCTCTTTGGCCGCAGCAGAATTGAAATAAATACTAGGATTTCCTAAATGTTTGTATTATGCACCCACTCCTCAAAATTTGTGGGAAATTAAAATTAAACCCTTTAGGCTCATTTTTAATACTTCAAAACCCTTGCATTCAAGAATTTATATTGAAATAGTTACCAAGGTCCATTATTTCATCAAGTATAATTAATCTGTTGATTGAAGCACCTACTATATGAAGAGGCAATGCATGCAGGCAACTTGGCAATAAATTGACCATTAATTTGAAAGATTGCATCAAAAACAATTTAGTCCTTGAAAACTGCAGCAGAAAGCCAAGTCATTAATTTTGTGAGGCTCATGTTTGTATCCTTCTTTGGTGTTTTCAAATAAAACATTCTTTTCAATTTCATCACAACATTGCTGTTGGGGGGATATAAAATCAAAACTTAATGTATCAGCTTTGCATGTATGAGGAGATTTGATAAAGTATGGCACTCATGCATTTTCAAATGCAAGGTTGTTATCAGAGCAGTTATTGTAAACTAAATGATGTATATTACAATTTTTAAATACCATAATTTGTTAAATCTTTCTTTAAGATAACTTATTTAATCATTCTACTGCACAACCTTTTTATTTTGTAGTTAGAACAGAAATATGTTTTTGTACTTAACATTTCACTTGCCTTTTCTTAATATAAAGCCAGTACCCTTGAACTACAGAATGAGAGGTGAACCAGTCAGGACTCTTCCAAAAGATTGAATGAAACACAGTCTTCTTTTATAACAGAAAGCCTTGTTATTATTTTTGCATCAACACTTGGTAAAAACTCTGTGCTTTATCCTTAATTTAACAGCCAACAAAGCAATCAATATATTAACACTTTTCTTATGATGCAACATGAAAAAAGAGAATACAGTCAAACCTCATCTTGAACTCCATGGGGCCGAGAAAAAAACTGAGAGATATGTGAGGACAGAATTTCCGAAAACCATTGGTCCTACTGGCAAAACTGATAGAAAATTGAAATGTCTGATGCAATTTGCTATAATAATGCTCCACGTGACCGATTATTATCTGTCTCAACAATTTGGGGGTTTTGTTGTACTTTCAATTAAGGTCCAGTTAGGTTGGCATTGATGTTCTGCAGCAATTTGATGTATACTTTCAGGTGAAACAACAAGACCAGTCCCAACCAAGGCCAATTACATCATGAATTATACTAGAATTAGGACTGATAGAATTTGCTTTGGACTGGTAGAATGCATGAAGTCATCAGTCCGAATGACTGACAGAAATATTTTGTTTTTGGAAACTCTGCAAGGATTCCAGATATCAAGGTTAAAAGACATATAGAAAAAGTGGTTGGGACTTGCAACTCACTTAAGACGTACAGTATCCATAGTCTTCGAGGTATTGGTGTTCAAGATACTGAAATTTAACTGTATTTGTTCATGAATAAATAGAACTGTGTGTCAAATTGCCTTCATCAATGAAAAATAACACTGCTGTTCTGATAATATCTTACATCAAGTGACAAAAAGACTTCAGAGTTTCTAGCTTGTCATCTCCAAAGGAAGTATAGTAGACTCATGGAAATCCTATCACATTAATACTACCTAACTTTGGAGAATTAAAAAACCACAGAGACTAAAGCATTGTCAAGCAATATATCTCCTTCCTTTTCCCTATCCTATCATCATATAAAGCACATGATTTTCTTTATACACATCGGAGTATACTGAAATCATTAAATATTACATGCTAGCAGTACATGACTAAAAACATTCTTGAGACTACATCTACTGTAATTTTTTTCCTCTACCTCAACTTCAAGTTGAAGAATTAAAACTTATTCTTCCAACATCCTAATTCATATGCAAGAATCTTCACAGAAGTCCAACATAAAATTAGTTAACACGATAGCTATTCTACAATCGTTGCACAAAGCAGCGAATCTAAGCACCCTCAAAACTACACACACGGCCCTTCACAATGAAATACAGCTCTTACGTTTTGTCACAGACCTTCTATCCCTGGCTTTGACAATGCCGAAGTGTCCTTCAATGCAGTGTGTGTGAAGTAGAGAGAGTGTGTATGTAGCTCAAGAGGTTCTTCAGATGAGAAAGTACAAACTCTACAGCTCTCCAAACTGACATTAGTCGTGATTCACTCACCTTTCTTCATAATCCACAACACAAAAGCAATAACAAACAGTCGCTGGATATCCCCGCCAGTGTCGTGTTAACAAAAGATATAAGCCTCCAGAAGCACTGGATTAGCATAGTACACTATCGATTTCAATTTTGACAAACATTACATTGACACCTATTATATGCACCGATATGTCTGTAAAAAAAGACAAGCAGTCATTGAATGATTTAAATGCACTTACCCGTTCATCTCCACTTTCACTGTCACACTGCAAACAACAAACGACAGCATATTAATATTCATGTGCATGCGAAAGAAGATTGCATTATGGGTAAAGTCATTAATGAGGTTTGTGTGTCAGTAAATTGCACACAATTTTCTGTTGCTTTCTCTTTGTCATGAATCACAAAAATTTGTCGCAAGGCTTGTCGATATTTCTGGCTTCAAATTAAGATTTCAAAATCTGTGTATAATTTAAATGCAGAATAAAATCAATGACCCTGAATGACTGTCAAATTTGTGTTGATGAATCGGGAACCCGGAGATTTATGGCCAGGCTTATTACAGGGTTAGGTTTCAAGTAGTGTGTCTTCTTTTTTATCAATACAAAGAGACCTCTATGCCTTGTATGGAACTTAAGCTTGTCTAGGTTTACAGCTTCAAGCTGATAATATGGAAACGGAAAAACAAGACCTTGAGGGTGACAGATGCAGCACATTAAATTTTTGCTGCAAGTTGTTGCACTGAACACAATATCAGGATATTGCATTTTCCACCCTCAAATTATATTACCAAGATCGCTTTTCTCTTATTTTCTAATCTGCGTATTTTAGCTTTGGGGGATGACTACTTTTATTCTCAGTGTTCAGCAGACAACAGAAGTTCAGAATTTGAACTACAAGTTAAAACATGGTTTGAATCCCTGACTAAACCTTAAAATCTTCTAAAACTATTCCATGCTCTGGTCCAAATGAAGTTTTTCAACAAAATACAAAGTTTGTTTTTTTTCTCAGCAAAGTCACAGGTTACTTAAGCCAATGACATAATAAATACTGAGATACCACATAAACAATTGAATTCATAATCTTTTTTGTTATGCTGCCCTTTACTATTTGATGTATCAACTTGAAGATGATTTACTAATATAAAAGCCTTACCAAATATCCTCTTCCAGAGCTTGAATGGGTACTGACCTACAATACATGAATATTTACAGTGAATATTAACAAGAAAGTAACCGAATTGACCTTTCACAATCTTGATGTACTTTTTTTTGGGGGGGGGGGGGGGGGGGGGGTATTCTGGGGTTGTCCCTAAATTTTTAATGAAACTTGTAGTGATTATAAAAACATTTTTATTCATAGCAATGTTAATAAGGACACATCTTGGTTTTTTTGTTTGTTGTTTTTTTTTTTTAATAAATATACACCTCCAAATGTATGACTAATGTTGAATAAACCTCCAAATGTATGATTATTTTTGAATAAAATATATAATGCATTTGTATAAGAGCGTCATTTCTGCAAAGATTGAAAGAAACTGTAAAGTATTTCTAAGTGTAAAGTCAACATTACATTTCATGATCACTCTAAGAAATGAACAACAAACTTACATCACTCAGTCCTCCATCGCGACATCCTGACCGCTGGTCTGAGAATTCTTCCGTCCTGTCACTGTACGGACTGTGTACTGAGGAATTGTCACTGAATCGATGGTTCAGGGCAGGTGATAAAGGTCTACAGGGCTGTAAAATAATTTAAAAGATTCTATATAAATTACAAATCAAACTCCAAAATCAGCAAATTCCAAATTCTATACAATATTGCAAAATTTAAATATTAACATAAACCAATTATTATACACGTGCAAGAAATATTAGTGAGAATTGCAAGCAACTCAAACTTGTGGATATTTATCATCACGAACGAGTCACTTGCTTTGTCATGTTTTATTTACAAAAACTCATTAGTGAATATTAACTGTCACAGACTTGTTCGCCATTGGTGAATAAAAAATCCCTCCTATAGTAGTGGGGTTAGATTGGACACACCCTAAGGAAGCCACCACATGCCAGGCCCTGGCCTGGAACCCAAAGGGCAAGAGAAAGAGGGGACATCCAAGAAACACCTGGAGGCCTGACAAAGATGCAGAATTAAAGGTGCAGGACATGGCAAGCAAAAGCAGCCCAGAACTCTGTTCATTGGAGGACTGTCATTGATGGCCTATGTTCCTCACCGAATGACAGGCATAAGTATTACTTATTAGTAAGTAAGTATAGAAGTTTGTTTACAGTATTCTAAAAATTTAGCTTTTTTTCAAAAAACTTTGTCTTTAGCAACAACCTGAAATAGTAAATCGATAAACACCATATCAATCATGAGAAGAAAACAGTGCAAAACAAAGAATAAACACAAATTGAATGTTTGCATACCAAAAAAAACCATTCCTGTGTACCATAAATACATAGAAACTCT